CGGTTTATAAAAGCTAAACTGTGAAATTTAAATTTAATAATTCTATATGTTAAGAAATTAATTTGTATATGCTGGGTATTAGAATAATTTTTTTGAATGAGTTTACTTATAAACTTTTTTGATTTTTTTGCCGGGTCTTGGGTTTGACTTTTAAAACTTAAAATTTTGTTATATATAAAATTTTTTGGTAAATAAAAAAAAAATCCGGGCGGGCGGGTTAGAAAAAAATTTATAAATACATTACACATAATAGTAGTGTATTAAATGCATTAATATTATTTTTTTATTTTTTTTAAAAAAAGACCTAGACATTGGACAAAGGATTATCATATTGATATCCCTAAGTTAAGTACAATTGACAGAACCGGTGACGAAGCAATATAGCATCCAATCAGTTGCTGGATTTTGTGGAACATAACCATACACTTCAATATCACTCAGTTCCTGGTATAAAATCAGGCAAACCACTGATTCTTTACGCACAACCTCTTTAAATGCATATTTACTTTTGTTCCCAAAGGCGTGCACTTGGAAGGGTTTGACTGTACATAAAATAGCCCTTTAATTTTTTTTTGCTTCAGATTTTTATTTCATAGTTATAAGGCACGAAGTTGATTTTTCGTTTTGTATTTCTAAGTTCCAGTCGGGTGGTCAGAATTTTTTTCTTTTGCTATTAATAGACTCATGCCCACAATTAGTTCGTGAGTTTTCATGTAGCCAATGTCTTTAGCTTCTAAGGCTTTCTTGAAAAGGCGTTTTACTTGTTAAGGAATTATAGCTATGATTTAAGGTTTAATTAATTTCGAATCAATTAAATTACGACAATTATACTCGTGTTTTGTGTTCATTAATGGTTCCACCATCCCGATATTACTCTATTTTCTGATAATTTTTGAACTAGGTTCATTAAAACTGCTGTTAAAATAAATATTATCCTTACTTTGAAACAAATTATTATAAAAAAAAAAAATTCATTCTTTTTTTTTTGAAAATTGGGTCAGTGGGTAGTGCAAAACGAGTTAACTTCATGTGACCTAGACATTTAGTTCCGGATTTATAATTCTACACATTTACATATGTATTGTATAAATAAATAGCAATATACAATCTTTATACCTTAAGATTTTTCTACAATTACAGATTCCAGATATTTGAGCCTTTTAATTATAGATTCCTCCGAATAACCGTTAGTTTCATCTGTTTTTCCGAATTTTAAATATAATTTCTTAAACGAAACTTTCACATCAGCTTTTCCATTTTCGTCATAGGAAATACGAACGAACAATGTATGCGATTAAAGATCTATATTTTTTTTCAATCCAAAATGTTTCCATGTTTCCATAAAATGGAGTGTTTTTTAAGATAATCCAATACTCGTGAAAAATAAATCAGATTTGAGGCAAGTATTGCCTCTGTCCAGGGTTGGGATAACTTACCTGACAATGTAACTTACATTGTAAGTTACATCGTAAGTTACATAGCTTCACAAATACATAATGTTAATGCAGGCCAACTTTGAGATTAAGTTCAGCCGGCATTAGGAATACTACACTGACTCTCATAATTATTGTTCCACCGCGTTTAAAATTTTTAGAGCATGATATTTCGCGTTCTGTAAAACAAATAACTAATAAACTTCAATGGTGTAAAGCTCTTAACTTCCTTTATTAAATTTTTTAATTTCACAAAAAAATATTTATTATTTTTTTGAAAAAATTTAAATTTCCACAAACTTTGTGGAACAATAATTTTGGCGCAAAGCCAAAAAAAAATTAATTACATGAATTTTTTTTTAATTTATTTTAAGCAAATTAAATTTTTTTTTTTTCTAAAATTTACCATTTAGTATACTCCTCTTTAGCTTTGAACACGTCCTTAATTTGTTAAGGCATCGTGTCGATTAGCTTTAAAACGTAATCTCATTGATCTCATTCCACACCTTTTGAATCTTATTCCACAGATCCATCTCACTAGTAATATTACCAGGAAGTTGTCACAAACGACAATCAACTTCATCCCATAAATGCTCTATGGGATTTAGGTCAGGGGCCAATCCAAAACTGCAATCCCATTTTCATCAACCAGTCTGTAACCAAATGCAACCTGTGCTTTGTTAAAAAATGATCTCATTTTTTTTTAAATGCCATGCCTGCAACATCCCCAAGAACTCATCTTTTAGTATTTCACGATACAACTCCTTATCCATGTTTCCTTCAATTTTACAATAGTTTCCAACACTGTACATACCATACAGCCCATACTATTATGGACCCCACCAAATTTCACTGTTGGCTTTATGTGTTGTGGTAACAAAGACGAATTTGGATCTTTCCAACACCATTCTCTTCTGTCTGAGCCAAAAATTTTGAACTTCGATTTGTCTGAAAAAATAACTTTTCGTCAATCTTCAACAGTCCAATGACAGTATTTTTTTGCAAACTCTCTTCATTTTTTTTTGGCCCATGGTTTAAGTAGAGGTTTTTTTTCTTTACCCTAGATTGGAGACCCTGTCTCCATAGTGCGCGATGAATTGTATTCGTGGAAACATAAATGTCTTCATCAAATATTAATTTTATTTGTGCTTGAACAGCACTCGAACATTCACCAGACCTAAAAAGCCTGGCTATTCTCCTTTCATGGTGTTCGGTAAGTATTCTGGGGTGACCTGGCCTTGGTAAAACATCCAAGCAACCAGTTTGCTCTTTTAGATGTTTGATTCTTAAGACAGTGCTATAGCTTACTTTTTCATGGAAAGCAATAGTGCGGCTAGAGTAACTTTCTTCAAGAAGGGTAGAAATACTTGTTCTTTTTGAAATTGGAATCGCTCTCATTACTATAATAGTTTGCTTGCATATTTACCATTACTAATCGGGCAAGTATTTTATACATTTTTGTTATCGATGTATCATAAATACATAATTTATTGTCACGAATTATCGTGAAATCAGATTATTGTAAAATTTGGATCTATTTTATGTATGATTTTTAAAATTTTTTAGGGCCTTTTTTGTAGGCTTTTTTTTATAGTTAAGTTAGGATTTAGGGTTAGAATTATTAATAAAAGAGTATAGGTGGATTTTGGTAGAGCTTATATTTTCAAATCGAGACCTCCAAATTTTACGATAATCTGATTTCACAATAATCTGTAACATTTATTTTATTACATAAATATGTCATAATTATTCGGCAGGTACTATGTAAACACTGACAGAAAAAATTTCACATTATTGCTGCAGGTTAATATTAAAATCATTTTAATATAAAACTTGCGGCATAATATCAATTTTTCCGTAAGTGTATATGTTGTGCCTCAGATGCATCCTTGAGTCGGATGCAATCTAACGCACGTCAGATGCCGATTTTCAGGTGACGCGCATCACCTGTGATCAGTCACCTAACATGCGTCAGCTGTAATCTGACGCAAGATCTTTAAAATTTTTAAAAAATATAATAATGTCATTATGAAAGATGTAGTAATAACGTCATTATGAATAAGAGTATAAAAAGCCTTTTTGCTCTTATCTTGATTTTTTTTTTTTGTATGATGGTTTGTTTTACCTTTAACAGCTGGCATACTTTTTTTTTTATTTCTTGTTGGTTGGTTGGTTCTTGGTTCCACGTTGCCTTAATTCTTGGTGCCTACTAAAACATTAGACGTTGGATTCATTCTTGGTGCCCACTAATATATTGGACGTTAGGTTTGTTCTTTGTGCCCACTAATAATATATTGGACGTTGTGCCCACTAATAATACATTGGACGTTGGATTCATTCTTGGTGCCCACTAATACATTGGATGTTGGATTAATTCTTGGTGCCCACTAATACATTGGACGTTGGATTCTTGTTGCCCACTAATATATTGGACGTTGAATTCATTCTCGGTACCCACTAATATATTGGACGTTGGGTTTGTTCTTGGTGTAATAATACATTGGATGTTGGATTCATTCTTGGTTTCCACTAATATATTGGACATTGGGTTTGTTCTTGGTGCCCACTAATACATTGGATGTTGGATTCATTCCTGGTGCCCACTAATATATTGGACGTTGGGTTTGTTCTTGGTGCCCACTAATACATTGGATGTTAGGTTTGTTCTTTGTGCCTACTAATAATACATTGGACGTTGGATTAATTCTTGGTTTCCATTAATATATTGGACGTTGGATTCATTCTTGGTGGCCACTAATATATTGGATGTTGGATTCTTGTTGCCACTAATACATTAGACGTTAGATTCATTCTTGGTGCCCATTAATATATTGGACGTTGGATTCATTCTTGGTGCCACTAATACATTGGATGTTGGATTCTTGTTGCCCACTAATATATTGGACGTTGGATTCATTCTTGGTGCCCACTAATATATTGGACGTTGGGTTTGTTCTTGGTGCTAATAATACATTGAATGTTGGATTTATTCTTGGTGCCTA